GAAGCAGTTCAGAATCCTGTACCCTGTACCATCACAGTTTTTCCTACTTTTAATATGCGGGTAGGAAGGTTTAGAACCTCTGTCATGTTTGTAGTATTGTCTTTGTCCCCAGAGACACCTGTCAACAGGCAGTTAGGGGAAGTCTACCAAACGGAGACAAAAACAGAGTTAGCCGAGTTCTAACCCTTCCCCACTCTTTTGAAAACAGGAACGCTTGGCAGGAATCAATATTTAAACAGAAGACTTGTGTTTAGTGGCTGATAACAGCTATTGAGATGCCCAATCTTTGCTTCTAAACTGACCAAAAACATCAAATAATTCTGAAAGCAGTAAACTTTGACAAATTACGGCCTCTGATTATTTTTGTTTCCTGTTCACCTTTATAAAGCAGAAACAGTTACCATTCCCTAAACAACATATATTCTGCATATGAATGTAGATCTACATGGCCTATTGCAAAGCTAAAAACATTTTCTGTGGAGTATCAATTATGCTAGATGTTTGAAGGATCCTACAAAGTATAAGGTACATTAAACTTAAGGACCGGCTCTCATGCACGCTGCAGTGCCGCATAAAGCGGAAGCGGATGACCATTCTCAGCAAAGAAAGGTAAACATTATGCAGGCAGAACCAGTGCATATATGTACAGCCTCATTGATGCCATATTTCAAAGCTTGGTGGATGATGGGTTTTTCATGCTTTGTCATGTGTTCCAATGGAAACCACTTACAGGGTTGTACATCTGATTGAACAACTGCTCGGCTTGCTACATTGGCAAGTCAGGAGGGATTGACACAGACATACACAGAAAAGGAAAAAAAGAGAAGGAAAGGTTCAGGAAAACAGAATTAACTCAACAAATCCAGTGTGTTTGAACAAAAGAGCTTGTCATTAATATGTAGCAATATTAAGTTCCTAAACATTCCTCGGTGAAAGCGAGAGTCACACGGGGACTCGCGCCTGTTTACCTTGGCTCCTAGAAGAGAATTGTTAGAATCTGAAAAGTACGGTATACAGTTGCTTTCCCTTTCTCAGGTTAAATAACCCATGAAATAAAGTAGGCTGTCCACTTTGATGATACATTAAGCACTGGACTCGAGCAATGAATCACCAGAAGTGCTTTTAGCGAAGGCATCCATTAATCACACAACTTTCAAAGATAGTAATAATAAAAGATTAATTAAGCACTATTGTTAAATAAACACCATTATTTTTTTAGCATGCAAATCACTGGGGAAGGGGTCGCCAAAGGAACAGGTTAGCCACAGAGGAAAGCCTAAAGAGGAAATGGAGTGCAACATATGTGATTGCTGTCAAATAAAAAGTTCAACTTCTCTGAGATGAAGTTGAAGACTGTGAGAGACCAGATGAGGTAAATCACCACAGTTACAATTAAGAAAAACTGAACAACCTAAAAATTACTTTGGGGTCCGGCCATTTCCAAAAAGGAAGCTACAGTGACATTTACAGAACTGTGGCCAGGCTATGGACATTCAAACATTTACATATTCTTAAAGCGACCCTGTCACCATACAAGAATGTTTAAACTGAGCCTTACATGCAAAGGAAAAGTATACATACTCATTTTTACTACTGCTCACACTGCTAACACGTCATCAAAATGCGTGCTCACTGCTCACTCAGTGGGGAGTGTGTTGAATCTGTGCAGAGAGAACACAGATTCCACTCAGAGAGCAGGGATCCCTCACTACAGCATGCTGGCAGGAGATAGACATTTAGCTGTGGCTGTTTTCTAAAGAAAACATACTGTAAGATTTGGGATACCTTTTGCTTTGATGCACCTGGAATATATTTAGCCAAATTAAACTAAAGGCTCCGCCGGGCAACTATTTAGTGAAATAAGGCCCTGCTTTTTCCTAGATCTATTTAAATTGAATATTCAGGGTCTATAAACACAAGGACCCATAACTATAAATCAGCAGTCATCTCCCACAAGCTTCCCTAAACCAATAACCATTTGACATGTACCAAAGCCTCACACACCTTGCAGTGCCTACTGGTAGATGAAAGAACAGAAAGCTCCAATTATACAAATAGACTTCTTCCATTCCTGAAGCTGTAGTTGGCCCTAACCACACACACTTATCTGTTGGTCCATTCTTGTGGTGAATAGCCTTAACGAACAACAATAGGCTGAAGAGGGGACCAAGCGTATCTTCAGGAACTTGCATATTAAAACTTCCTGGGCTTTAGGGCTGCTACTGAGCTCTACAGAGTATTTGGCCCTTCAGGCAGGCATCATTTTATATGCTACTTGCAGTTTAAGGATATTTAAAGTGTGACTTTACTTTTGTTGAGTAAGAACAAATTCCTTCTAAAGTAAACTTCTCTCTTCTTTTTGAAAGGCACTGGTGTTTGTCTTCCCTATCCTTTCTGACATTCATTGCTAAATGTTAGGATCAGCCTTTACTACAGGCTCCTGAGAAATCTCAGCACTGTAATGAGAAACATAGCAGGTAGACCTGTCGAATACAGAAGGTGGTCGAAATTTGCAACTCAAAGTGCACAAATGCTCCAAGCTCTCTGCAGAAAGTTTGCTTGGACTTTGAGGCATCTGGAGGTGCTTGCACTGTGCAGTAAGTGCTGGTTTTATGTTTTTTCATTTTCAATACAAGTTTAAAATGATTCACAGTCAGTGTAAGCACTACTGTGCCTATTCCTCCCACCAACACTGATGCAATGATCCCAATTTTCTAGCTTTCTTACATGTGAATACAGACACAAAGATCCCACATGCAGTAACTGTTTTTTGCGGGGAAAAAGGAATGTTGTTCTTCTGAAATCACATTGGGCTTGTTCTATATGGTCATATATGTAAACAGGGCTTAGCAAGTGCTGAAATTATATGTCTAATTTTACATAACTGCCTGAGTTTACATAGATCAGAAAACTTCAAATATATCTAAAAAAGAATTTTAAACTCTACAAAATATTTTCTGGCTTTTTGACAGCTGGGTAGGTAGACTGTAATTTATTAGCTGGGTGTGTACATTTTATGTACTGTACGGGCAGGAAAAAGTTCTGTATTGAACTTTGTACTATTTTAGTGACCCGCAAGCACACTGGAAGATGAATGATAGTGTGAGCTGTTTTCATTCCATCTGTTAAAGAATTGAAGAGCCGGAGATATAGCATCACAGCTAAAGACAGTTACATTATTCCTAATGGCATTGCTGCAATAGCAGGACAATGTAGCATGGGCATATGAAACACACCATCCCACATCTGTCCATGCTACCTAACTTTGTTAAATCCAGAAGAGCATTATCAGTTTCAAAGTGTTATTACAATGCTGACTAAATAAAGTGTTGCAAACAAAGACAGGAAAACTATAGAAGCCATTGAGCAGATCCAAAAGCTGCCAGTTGGGGCCTGATTAATAGCAATTTAAAGTTATCCTGTGTCCAGGGTATAAATATTTACATATTATAATGATCAAAAACAAACCTGCACTGACCTCCGTAGCTAGAGGTACTCTATAGCACTTCATCCTTTAAATTTCAAAGTAAAGGCACTCTAGTACCACTGTAGTAAGATTCTTAGCAGCTTTACTGTACACGGTCCTCTCCCTCAGCAGTGACTTGGCAGCCTTCTAATATAGACACAATAGATATGGTCTATGTTTACATCAGGGCTTACTTACCCCATGTCTGTTGAGCTAAATTTTTCTGCACCCCACCACCGATGTATGGAGTGAGCAGGGCACAGGAAAACTATTGATTTGTTCATGCCTTGTTTACACCTTACATGGGGGGGGGAGAGCAATGCACATGGTGCGAACAAGCCCTTAGAAGACTGGAAGGCTGCCAAGTCAACGTAACATGACTTGAATCTCTCATTGAACGCTCAGAAAAAATAATATTTCAGGGAAGACTGCATAGAATCTATGATCGATTAATGTTGTACTTTTATATCCTAAATAACAGAGAAAGAGTGAAAATGACTGTCCCCCAGGCCAAAGTCTACAGAGAAAGGCTACTGCTTATTCTGATTGCAGAACTCTAGCTGTCACTCATGGGGGGTTATGTATTACTGCTGCCAAGAGATTACTGGACTCTCGCAAATAGCAGCGGCCCTTCTCTGAAGCCTGCAGCCTTGAGGAAAGAAGTTTTCATTGTTTCTGGGGCTCTATTATAAAGAGCATTAAAGACATTTATAGATTATAGACTTTATGCAGTCTCCACTGAAACAAATATGTTTTGCTGAGAGTTCATTTGGAATTTAACCTTCCAGTGTCTACCAAAATATAAACTATCATGTACTGGCTTGTTTAATGATTTGGGTGCTTGTGTAGAAGACTGGTCCCACAGCCAAATCTGATAATGGACTAGCACGTTAAGAATCCCTGGATATTCTCTGGGCTGTTACATCTTGGATATCAAAAATAATTGCATAGAAAAACTAAACTATATGAGATTGCAGTGTCAGCACTGTGGGAGTTCAGGGAATGGGGACTTTTAGATGTTTCCTCTGGCAAAGTGGAAATCTTTATGGATGATATGGTACCTGTACCGTGCTGGCACTGTAGAAAGCAGCTGTCCTCTCTGCACTGCAGCTTTGTTTGTAGTAAAAAAAACATTGCCGCAATCAACATTTCTTGATTAGCTTAAGTTAATATTATCCAAGAGCTCAGCTTGGCAAGTCGATGACACAATTTCATTCTGAAAAACCACAAAGGCTTTGATTTGTAATTACAATATGTTTGGGTTCACATCAGTGTCAGAGCAGTTGTTGGCCCCGAAACTTGCGGTCTATATATATTGCTTTTGTGATAGAGCATTGTTTTTCCTGTTTCCAAACTTCCATCAGCAGCAATGACAAAATCTTGTTTTCTATCCCAAGTTCAAAGAAATCTTTGATGCTGCTGCTCTGTAGAGGACTGTGGAATCAGCGGCACCTGATTACACTATCAAACTGTTTCCAAATCACAGCGTTATGTGTTATGTTATGTGTCAGACAGTTGTGCATATTCTACTTACCTTCTTCAACTGCGCTTCCAACTTACTGCATTCCTCTTTTTTCTGTTCAATGGCCATTTCCAGGGACTTCACTTTGGAGTCTCGCTTGAGTCCAGAAGAAGCCAGAGAAGTTGCATGTTCTTTCAAATCTATTAAACTGGCCTAGAAAGATTTAGAGGTCAGTACTTTCACATTTTCATCATTATGAAGTATAAATGTGTTTTTCTTTAACCCTTAAAATAACTGTTCTTACTTCATATAGTGGATGTTTATGTAATTAACAGAAGGTGCCTGCACAAACTGCTCACTGTCTTCTTGAGCACCTAAGGACCCTAAAAGCGGAGGACTCTGATATGCAAATGTTGGCTTTTGTAAGACAAGTCAAAGGTATGTCCTCCTCTCCTGAGCCTAGATTTTGGCTAGGCTAACCAGCCCTTCATGATTAAGAAACAAGAGCTAGGTACAGGATGTATGGGAAGGGGTGTACTAATTCCTCAGCTTTGCATTCAAAAGTCACTATTTAAATATCAAGGCAAACTCTCTAAATTGCTTGATACTGGGATAATATATTGACAGATTGTTGAAGTTGATAGATGATGGAAAAACTCCAAAACCTAAGTGTCAGTCTACCAAAACCTTACCATGCTGATCAATGAGTGTTCACTTTTTAAAGCTGAATTCCACGAACACATCTAAATACATGGCTTAAATACATACTGTATATGGTGATACCTGCCCATCAAGTTCTGAAATGTACACAGCTTTTGACTAGGCAGAAGACCTAATTTTATCTGATGCAATTGTCCCTCCCCCTGGTCTTGTCCTTCCCCCTGCTTGATACTGGACAGTGGAAGGAGAAACAGCAGACAGATGAGCATCACTCTATTCTTGCCTTCTATCAGAATCTTGAGCATAGCAGCCTAACTGATTGTCTTGTTAAGCTGCTTCTCCTTCTCCCAGGCTGAACTTTGCTGTACAGCAACTGCAAGGGGCTGATACTGAGTCAAATCCAGGAAACTGCACTCCTTATATTTAAAAAAAAATGCATTTAATGATGTATTAATTAATACAGAGCTGCATTAATGGGTGTATTTAATATCTGCCTGGAGTTCAGTATAGTCTGTGCAGAGGTCCTAACCCTGACTGTGCCATCAGTCAGGAATATCTGAATCACAAACCTGACAAAACAAGATTAATACCCTTGGCAGGTTAAACAGATCACATTTACGCTTTTCAAGCTCTTTATCTGAAGTTGAGCTTTAACTCAGCAATATACTGTATCTTACTCATCAATAATGATAACCCTATAGAAGTTCTTTATCAATAAACGTCATCTAACATCACCCACCTCTTTCTCTGTTAGCTCAGCTTGCAAACTGTTTACTTTCTCTTTCAAGTCCTTGTTTTCTTTCTTATAGTTTTCTATTTCTGCTAGTCTCTCTCGGTCATCCCTTTCCCTCTGTTCTTTTAAACGTTCAATGATTCTCTCCTGTAAAAGGTAAAGTGGATAGGCAAATAAAGTGGATGCTAGAAACTCATAGAAGTACATTCACTAACAGATTCCTTAGCAACAAATAATCCACTCAATAAAAACAAAAGTAATATCGGTACACAGCAACTTCCATCACTCAACGGAATTAATGAACGTGGTCTTATACACACACATGAATTATGTGTCTGTACATGACACAAAATGAACACATCAAATGAACGAGGCTGGAAATGAGCATATAGTTGTAAGTATATTTAATAAATTATATAGCGCCAACAAATTCCACAGCTCTTTTAGAAGAACACTGAACCTTTTACATGAGTGAACGCACCAGTGGAGATTACAACCTAACGTCACTAGGCCAGGCTCTAGGCAACACACACTGGGGAGCCATTTTGGAAAGTTCTAGTTACCTGTGTATGTTTTTTGAGCTGCCATACCCGTAAGAAATCCATTCAAAGATGGCAGAACATGGAGATACCATGCAGATAGCATCTTGGTGTAATCAAACCCAAGGACATCTACACTGCACCAGTGTAGATGATTGAGTCAACAGGCTGCTCATCACTAGACAACAATGCTACCCATTTGTTATGGTTAATACAAGTCAGTGCAAAAATTAGGTCTTTATATAGAGAAAAGACCTCTACAGAAGTCACCAATAGGACCAAAATCTGTAATACAAGTCAGTGCATGTGTTTTTACTGAGCACAGGAAAACTGTTTTAAAAATGTAGCGTGAATTGTTCCACAGTTCTAGCTTGTTTTAAAGTTTACTGTTTTTATAAATATGTAAAATATTAAATGTCCTTAGTCTGGCCAAAGGTACGCTTTAAAGTTATATTAAAGCCATAAAATGTTTTAACTATTTCAAATGCTGATGAAATCACTTACAATGGATGCTGCTTCTTAATTTTTAAAAGTTTTATTTTCCTGCAGAATCAGCGGAGAGTTGGCTCTGATATCCTGTTTTAGGATGTCTCCTTCCCCTTGCAGGTTACTATGGAATCACCCTTGTGTGTAATAGTAAGCTTTGTGTGTCTCCACTAATACACAGGTACAGCAAGGAAAGCAACTACCCTGCTCCCTGCCCCTACTTCCTCTTCCTTCCTCCATTCTCCAAGCTAGTAGATGGAGAGCTGCTGGACACTGCGGTGTTGTACTCAATGGGAAGTTCAGGAAATGGAGCTGAGAGAGATGGAGCCAGCTGTTTGAAAACTCGATCAGTCCTCAGGGGCAGGGCCCTCCATACCATCTTGTCTTGAATTGTATTGTGATTGCAATGTCTTCCTTATATTGTAAAGCGATGCGCAATCTGTTGGCGCTATATAAATCCTGTATAATAATAATAATAATAATAATGAACACTGTAAAGGTTTGGGCAAAAATATAATGAAATACTTTGCTGGGCAATGCATATTTGTTTGATCTGGACTCATCACTGAAAAGATTTTTAAGAGTTTAATACTACTTTAAACTCTAAATCCAACCGTGACCCAAACACTTAGCCCCTTAAACCTGTACTATGAGTTAACTGGTTTAGCCTAATTTTACTTGTAACACTGCTTCAACCCATTCTGCAGTATAATTACTTTTTCTGGTGCTTGAGCTGCCAGTTCCAAAAGATAATAGTCTCTTGCTGGAAAAAGTAACAGTGATGATATCCAGTGTGGAAAACCCATGATCCGAGAACTGTATTGCAACCATTCTATTTTATCAGAATCAGCTTAGTTTGGCACCTCCAATTTCCTCTTCCTCCATACCACCTTCAGATATATAAATGCTTATGTGCCATTCTACTTTGTTGTCTCTACCCACTATTGCAGTAAAACAGGAGACAGGCAACAAAGCACACATAATATGAAGGTATATGTGTAAAAGTGAGGTTGAGGGTGGCACCCAGACTCTGAAAAGGGAGAGAACAACAAAGAGATTAAAAATAAGCTAAACATAGGGACACACAACCAATGGGATAGCAGGGCAAGCACTCCCCAATGGTCAGGCATCTGTTTCTACTGCTTAATGTATTAGACAACATTCAGCTTGTACAGAAGGTGAAAATGAATAGCATCCCATGCTGACAATTTCTAAAAAAGTATTTTTGCATCCAATACAAAATCTTGTTTATTTGATAAAATGCCCTAAGTCAAAGCCTGTCAATAAAACATGTTTCTTTGCACATTATCTAATAGAACTTCTGGAAAACATATGGCTTTCATGATTTTCTTTTCCCTTGGTGTAATTTTCTATGATTACATAAAACTGTACAATATAAGAAAGCCATTTAATAAACACTTCTACGCACTTGCAGTCAGTTAGAAAGGGATGACTACTGGGCCTGTCATCGGTACAGGCTGAGAAGTCAAACACATCTGTTAGAGGGGGTTCTACTTGATTAACAACTAACATGGGGAAATCTCAACAATATGTTTCTGTTTTACTTATATTTGCATTGGCAAGATCTGCTTGCACGCTAAACAATTTTTTTTTCTGCCCTCAACATGGCTAATTGTTTTGTATTTTATTGCAGTTGCAGGAACTAAGCCCAGAGTATATGGCTTATCAGATATTGGGAAAAACCTGACCCTGGGTTCCCTTAAAGTGATTTAAGCAATTCCTCTTGCTATCCAGTCTAACAGTACATGTGCATTGTGCATAAAGGATGTAGTAAGCTCTTCATTGATCCCCTTCTCATATCACTAACAATTCCTAGATATATGCTTTAAAACTCTGTGTAAATATCAGTTTTTTCTTCAGAAATTAGATCTGCAATGCTTGCGCACATAAAAGACTTTCAGGATACAATCACATAATCTGTCCATTCTCGAATTGCTGGAAATATTACTTTTCTACTGGCTGACCTCAACCACTGGCTAACTTCACTATTTATCAATGACAATCAATGACACAAAAAATCCACCCAACTTTGATATGCACATTCTTGTTCCAGGACAGCTGCTTCTTAAGTAGAAAAGAAAGGACAAGGAAGGGAGTGCTGAAACATGCACCTTCAAAAACAGCGGCAATGGCGGTTCTCATGTTCCTATACTGAAATATTTATTTTTTAGTTTAGAAGGATATCCTAGGCTGGCTATACATAGAACAATATGGGCGGGGGGGTGGTTTGATGCTGTACCTGATTTATCCAGTGAGTAAGGTTTTAGTAAATTTTAGAAATATTTTTTATGGTCTAGTATTGTCGTTGGTGCCTCCACGTAGCATCAGAATATCACAGTGACAGTTTACTTTTCCACAGCCCAACCTCACTTGGTTATTATTAACCTTTACATGGGTTATAATTAGCAGAACTTATTGATACAGTAAGGTGGTTGGCTAACACAAGTGAGAGAAACTTAATGGGTACAAGAAATGCACGTCACTTTCAAAATATCTTAAAGTGGACAATTCATAAAAATGGAAGGTCTACTCTACTCATGCCCCCCAATTACTTAAAAACAATAATAATAAAGGCTGTGCAAAAAAAATTAAGTACTTTACTTGGACCAGCTGTGTGCCTCCCAGGAGAGCTGGCCTCTCAAAATGCAATGGGCGGGAGAACATTCTCATGGGATTTCATGTGCCCTGCTATCCCCAGATGCAAAACTAGGATGTGGTGACATCACACATGCCTTTCAGATGTGTTGTAAGCTGGGCTGAGATAAGTCTTTTTTTGTTCACACTTTATCAGTAAATTGGGTTTTTTAAGACATTTCCACTATATGGAAGAATCATTTTGAAACAGTTAAAAACGAGGGGAAAAAAATACATACAATAACATGTATAACAGTTAACACATTCTAAAAAAATTACATTTGACAACATTGTAACAAACAGGATTACCCGAAGGAATGCTAGATTCACCCTATAAAAGACAAGTTAAATATCAGGAAAAAAAATATTTTGCACATATCACAAACATTCAAATGGGTTTTATTTGTGACTTCTGTATGAATTTTAACTCATTTGTGCAGCAAATCTTTTTATCAATAGACCCCTAAGCCTGTACTGGCCTCTGGACACAGTTACCTTTTCAGAGAGTGCTTCCTCCAAAGTCGCAAGAGCCGTATCCGTATTACTTGAATCGGTCTGTAGGGACTTGACTCGATCTTTGAGGTTCCCAAGCTGTTTATCTTTATCTCTAAGCTGTTCCTGAAGATTCTCAATCTATAGGAAAAGAAACAAAAATGTATCAGTTCAAAGATAACACATCATGATCCTATGAATTATGTGATTCTGCTGCTAGAGACAAATTGACAGCGGCAGGATTGTTAAAGAGGCCTGTCTGTCTGTCCCTATGGAATCGCTTTCTTTATAGCCAGATGCAGCGAGATGCCGCTCTGTCACTGGCCCGAACACTGCTGAATCTCAACTGCTAGCGATGGGAGCAACATCTCTCTTCCTCAGCTTAGAGTTGGCCGTCTGAGATCAGCCAAAGAGTGAGACCTTTATTTAATAAACCAATGTTTCCAAAAGTGAAGCTTTGTGCCACTGGTGACACAGATCATTCCTGCAGGCAATAAACAGTAGGGATCAGGATTTATGTGTTAACGTTCTGGGTGGTGGGAGGGCAATACATTTAGTTCCAAACATCAGTGACAGACATGGTAGTATGTCAATGTACCAAAACAATATGGCTGTGTTTAATTTTTTTGGGCTCAACGATCATTCTAAAAAAAGGCAAAACATTTACTTTACTCACTGCAAAATGTGTAATAGTTGTACATGTCAGATCAGAGTTTTGGAAACGCTGTGATAAAACAAAACCCAATGTGAAAAGTGCTCTTAGCTGTGCCCTAATCAACTGAATTACCGTTACCTTTACACCAACCAAATGAACCTAACTAACTGAATAACCCTAGCCCCTACCCTGACAAACTGAATCACCCTTACCTGTACCCAAACCAGCTGACTCACCTTTACCCTAACCAACAGAATCCCCTTACCTGTACCCCCAACCGGCTGAGTCACCCTTACCTTTACCCTAACCAACTAAATCACTGTTACCTGTACTCTAACCAACTCAATCACCCTTATCTGTACCTGAACCAGCTGAATCACCCTTACCTTTACCCTAACCAACAGAATCACCTTACCTATACCCCAACCAGCTGAATCACCCATAAATGTACCCTAAGCAACTAAATCACCATTATTTTTTACCCTTACCAACTGAATCACCCTTACCTATACCCTACCCAGCTGAATCACCGTTAATTTTACTCTGAATCACCCTTATCTGAACCCTAACCAACCACCCTTACCCACACACTAACCACAAATAACCCAACTGAATCACTCTTCACTGATCTAAATCTACTAAACAAATAAAAATTGGAATTCATTTTCTTTACATTGTTGTTCTTTGCAAACATCTTACTAAACAAACCAGTGAAGCTTTGTTTTCACCCCTTCAGGCTATTTACTCCATATGCAAAAAATATATGCAGATGTGAACTGTATATGACCAGACATAATCATATACACATCTATACACAAGCTTCACAGTACATGTCAGACCCCTAGGTCTGTTACTGGCATTTACAATCTATATACCAGTGTTTTTCAACCTTTTTTGTGCAAAGGCACACTTTTTTTCATGAAAAAAATCACGAGGCACACCACCATTAGAAAATGTTAAAATTTTTTACCTCTGTGCCTATATTGACTATATATAAAGTAATTCTCTTGAATAGGAATCAAATAAACACAAAGAAATTATTTTATAATTACTTTATTATGAAATAATAAAGTATTTTATAATTGTTCATATTTCTGTTCAATCCATGACTTAACTTCACACTTCACACAAATACGTTTTAAATTCAAACTGTAGCACTGACGTAGCCCTGGTTAAAGTAGGGTTCAGTGGGGTCTCACTAGTCTTGGTTAAACCCCACAGAGCCCTGGTGAGACCCTACCAAGCCCTGCTTTAACCAGGGCTCTGTAGGGTCTCACCAGAGCTATGTGGGGGTCTCACCAGCCTGGTTAGACCCCTCAGAGCCCTGGTGAGATCCCACACTGCCCTGGTTAAACCCGGACTCTGTAGGGTCTCACCAGCACCAGGGCTCCGTAGGGTCTCACACGGGGCTCTATGGCGTCCCACCATGGCTATGTGCGATTTCACCAGCCTGGTGAGACCCCTCAGGGCCCTGGCAAGACCCCACAGAGCCCTGGCAAGATCCCACAGAGCCCTGGTGAGAGGTCTCACCAGGGCTCCACCACCATGGCTTTGTGGGGTCTCACCAGGGCTCATAGGGGGTCTCACCACCCTCCGGGGGGAAACACCTTCACCCCCTTCTCTTTCCTAGGAAGCCGGGTTAGGGGGGGGGCTTTACATTTGGTTCTGCCCTCTGCGGTTAGAATGAGTCACACTTTAATGATCACTTTAATAACTCCTTCATGGCACACCCAGCGTTACCACACAACCCCAAAAGCCCCATGGCTTTGTGGGGTCTCACCAGGGTAGCAGATTTTGCCTTGTACACACATGCGATGACTCACCGGCCCAAGAGTGAGGAGGAGACTCAGCCCAAGTGATTCCGTCAGGTAACGAAGGGAAGGGGGAGGAGTCTATGTCCGTGACGTCACCGGACTCCTCCCTCCTTCCCTTCGTTACCCATCACGGACAACTACATCACCCGACTCCTCCCCCCTTCCCTTCGTTAGCCGACAGAGCCACTCGGGGAAGGGGGGAGGAGTCCGGTGACGTCGATGTCCGTGACGTCACCGGATCTCCGACGGAAGACCCGGAAGCCGGCGGAGAGGTGAGTAACTTTGATCGATCAAAATAATTTTGATCGATCAAAGAAATTAACGATTTATTGACGGCACACCAGAAAATATCTCACGGCACACTAGTGTGCCGCGGCACAGTGGTTGAAAAACGCTGCTATATACAGTATATATGTGCATAGAGTATATACAGTCGTGCTCATAAGTTTACATACACGGGCAGAATTTATGATTTTCTGGCCATTTTTCAGAGAATATGAATGATAACACGAAAACCTTTCTGTCACTCATGGGTAGTGTTTTGCTGAAGCCATTTGTTATCAATCAACTGTGTTTACTCTTTTCCAATCATAATGACAACAGAAACTACCCAAATGAGCCTGGTCAAAAGTTTACATACTCTGGTGATTTTGGCCTGATAACATGCACACAGGTTGACACAAAGGGGTGTGAATGGCTATTAAAGGGAACCTTCCTCACCTGTGATCTGTTTGCATGTAATCAGTGTGTATAAAAGGCCAATGAGTTTCTGGCCTCCTGACAGACTCTTGCATCCTTCATCCAGTGCTGCACTGACGTGTCTGGATTCTGAGTCATGGGGAAAGCAAAATAATTGTCAAAGGACCTGCGGGAAAAGGTAGTTGAACTGTATAGAACAGGAAAGGGATATAAAAAGATATCCAAGGAATTGAGAATGCCAATCAGCAGTGTTCAAACTCTAATCAAGAAGTGGAACATGAGGGGTTCTGTTGAAACCAAACCACGGTCAGGTAGACCAACTAAACTGTCAGCCACAACTGCCAGGAAAATTGTTCGGGATGCAAAGAAAAACCCACAAATAACTTCAGGTAAAATACAGGACACTCTGAAAACATGTGGTGTGGCTGTTGCAAGATGCACAATAAGGAGGCACTTGAAGAAAGATGGTCGAGTCGCCACTTCTGAGTGGCCAGATTATTATGACCACCCCATCAGTACTCCGTTGGGCTACGAGATGACTCCACGAGATGACTTCGTTGGGCCGCCTCGTGACTCCATGAGATGTTGAAAGGTGATGCAAGGAATCTGACACTGCACTGTTGTCCTTCTGTTGTCTTGTACCAGTCTTGCCACTCTCCGTTCTGCCCTAACATTGACTAGTCGCTGACGGCCACAATTCGCACGTTCTGACCCAGATTTTCGGCTGACAGTCCAGTCTTTAAACACTTTAACAATGAGCCCCTCTTGAAGTTTAACGAATTCTGCTGTTTTGATGATACTCGCTCCATGGCTCGCGCCAACAATCATCCCACGTTCAAAGGCTGTAAAATTGCGTTGTTTACCCATATCTTCAGAAAAAAATCACTTCTACTGTCGTGGTAAACAACCTGCTTCCCTATTTATTATGGTCTGGCCCTCTAGCAACTTCAGCGCGAAATTATAGCTAATGATAGCTAATTTGCCTACAAACGTCAGGTGGTCATAATAGACTGGCCACTCAGTGTATATTGTATGCATGTACTCCTGTGGAAGAACTTGCAATATAGATATATACACACACACATATTATTTTTCCTTTTGCAGTAAGTGTTCTTGAACATAGACATTTAGGCTCCCTTCACATATAGCATCTGCATTTCCCGCACGGTTTTCCGTGCGGAAGACCGCATGGCACCCAAAAGCTATACGTGAAACAACTGCACAGATTCTGCTCGTTTGCGGCCATTATATAGCCGCGAACATGCGGAATCCGCAGAATTATCGCACTTGCACTATTTTGGGGACCGCGCAGTTTCGTACCGAGCGGTCTCCACAATAGTCTGAACAATGCACGTTGAAGTGCATTGTTTTTTCTGTGTGGAGCGGCTCCGCGCATATTCGTACAGCCGAATACGCACAGACAGCCGCCCCAGTGTGAAGGGAGCCTTAGCTTCAAACAGATGTCATTCTCTTTACCTTCCAAGCACATAACGAAGCAAACTTCCTCAGCCTGCCATGAATTTCTGTGCTATTAAATATCAGATCACCGAAGATCAAACAGGATGTCGGCAGGAGAGACTGCACATTTTCTAAAGGTAATTAAGCCAAACTTGTTTATTTAGGTAGTATTTCCCTTCCCCGACTACAATAGAAAGTGAGAGGCTTGCCTTTGTTTTCAGGGATTACACTGGCAGTTTGTTTGAACGAAGGATTTTCCATCATTTAACAGAATGTGCTGATGCTTCTTAACCACTGAAAGGGAAGGCTGGCACAAAATCAATTAGAGAAAATCCTATACTGGTGTGCTCTAGTTTAGCTATACATATATATTACTGTGACATGTGTTTAACATGAGAACAACAAAAAAACTAAGCAGATAATGCTTGTGGATAAACAGTGAATTACTGCATAACCTGATAAGCATTGAGTTACTGTACAACAGGAACATACTCAGGATTTATATAACAGGAAAA